TTTTGCTATTTTCGTACAGAGTTTAACCACTTTGTTGCCACTTTCATTGAACAGAATTTGACTGAGAACGATCAGCTGACACTCTTGGCATTAGAATGGCGATGACCGTGACTCCTGCAGCTTTGCAGAAGCTGTAAATTCGTAATCAGACTACAGCGGAGCATCAGAGCCTGGCAGGGACCCAAATAAGGGGGCAAACCATTAATACATTTTTTATTTGTCCCTATCATTGGGAAACCGAGCAAGGGTACTTCTGGCATCATCACTATTCCAGCAGACTGTAGTGGTTATGATGCTTGGATTAATTAAGTTTCATATACACTATATGGACAAAAGTATTGAGATACCTGACAATTACGCCAACAGGGACTTTGACATTGCATTCTAAATACGTAGACTTTATTAATAGTTAATAGTTTATGTGATACTTCATACACTATGATGGGAAAATTGCTGCATTAAAGGGACTCTCCAGTGCCAGGAAAACAAACCGTTTTCTTGACACTGCAGGTCCCCTCTCCCTCCCACACCCCATCCCAAGTTGCTGAAGGGGTTAAAACCCTTAAGTGACTTACCTGTATTTATTTATTTATTTATAAAATATTTTACCAGGGTAAATATAAACATTAAATATATACACAATTTATTAGTTGGACCCCCTTTGCAATTATAACAGCTTCCACTTTTCTATGAAAGCTTTCCACAAGGTTTTGTTGTGCTTCTGTGAGAAATTTTACACATTCGTTCAGTAGAGCATTAATGAAGTCAGGCACTGATGTTGGAAGAGAAGGCCTTGCTCGAATTCTCCTTTCCAGTTCACACAAAAGGTGTTCGATGTGGCTGAGATCAGGGCCCACAGGTGTGAGCAAGTTAAGTTCTACTACACCAAATTCACCCAACCATGTTTTTATGGACCTTGTTGCAAACAAAGGAAGGATCTGCACTCTCAACACTTGCAGATCTCGATGCACTATATCTAGGGCTTGCAAACCCCCATTCCATATAAGTGCCTGGACTACATTGTCTTCACTAAAGTTTATTTACCTTGAGTCATGCTAGAACAGAAAAGAGTCTTCCCCAGACTGTTCCCACAAAGATGGAAGCATAGCATTGTGCAAAATGTATTTACTTGCTGAAGCATTAAAGGGACAATGTAAGCACCTAGACCATTTCAGCTAATTGAAGTAGTCTGGGTGCTGCGACTCTTTTGCGCTTAGTGTTGCAATGTTAAACATTGCAGTTCCAGATAACTGCAATGTTTACATTGCAGCTCTAAGTCTGCCCTCTGTGGCTATCTAACAGACAGCCACGGGGGCTCTTCTGGAAACCTAACGGACCTTTGGTCTGTTATCTGACGCTGGACATCCTCACGGACCTCCAGCGTCAGATTTTCCCCATAGGAAAGCATTGAATAATGCTTTCCTATGAGGAGGTCTAACGCGTGCACAGCCAGTGCCGCGCATGCGCATTAGGTCTCCCCCGCTGACGTCGGAGCGTAGGAGAAGCCTGACCCAGCGCTGGATTCAGGTAAGTGGCTGAAGGGGTTTTAACACTTTCAGCCCTATGGGATGTGGGGACCTATTAACCCAGTAGTGCCAGGAAAACGGCTTTGTTTTCCTGGCATTATAGGGTCCATTTAAGCCCTAAACAGCCCCATACCATCATCCCTCCTCCATCAATCTTTACAGTTGGCACAATGCAGTCAGGCAGTTAACGTTCTCGTGGCATCAGCCAAACACAGATTTGCCCATCAGATTGCCAAACAGAGAAGCGTGATCCGTCACTCCACAGAACACGTTTACACTGCTCCAGAGTCCTGTGGCGGCATGCTTTACACCACTCAATCCGATGGTTGATGTTGTACTTGGTGAAATGAGGTTTGCACGCAGCTGCTCTGTCAGGGAAGCCCATTCCATGAAGCTCCTGATGCACAGTTTTTGTGCTGATATTCCAGTGGAAGTTTGGAAATCTTCAGCTATGGAATCAGCAGTGTGTTGGTGACTTTTACGCACTGGGCGCCTCAGCACTTGGTGACCCCACTCTGTAACTTTCCATGGTCTTCTGCTTTGTGGATGAGTTGCTGCTGTTCCTAAATGAGTCCACTTTATAATAATACCACTTACAGTTTACCGTGGAATATCTAGCAGGAATGAGTATTTCTTAACTGACTTATTGCAAAGATGGCATCCTATCACTGTACCACGATTGAAGTCACAGAGCTCTTCAGAATGACCCATACTTTTCCTAAATATTTGTATATGCAGACTGCATGGTGTTTGATTTTATGTGGCAATGGATCTGACTGAAACACCTGTTAGTAGGTAATAGTTTATGTGATACTTCATACATTATGATGGGAAAATTGCTGCATTAAAGGGACTCTCCAGTGCCAGGAAAACAAACCGTTTTCTTGACACTGCAGGTCCCCTCTCCCTCCCACACCCCATCCCAAGTTGCTGAAGGGGTTAAAACCCTTAAGTGACTTACCTGTATTTATTTATTTATTTATAAAATATTTTACCAGGGTAAATATAAACATTAAATATATACACAATTTATTAGTTGGACCCCCTTTGCAATTATAACAGCTTCCACTTTTCTATGAAAGCTTTCCACAAGGTTTTGTTGTGCTTCTGTGAGAAATTTTACACATTCGTTCAGTAGAGCATTAATGAAGTCAGGCACTGATGTTGGAAGAGAAGGCCTTGCTCGAATTCTCCTTTCCAGTTCACACAAAAGGTGTTCGATGTGGCTGAGATCAGGGCCCACAGGTGTGAGCAAGTTAAGTTCTACTACACCAAATTCACCCAACCATGTTTTTATGGACCTTGTTGCAAACAAAGGAAGGATCTGCACTCTCAACACTTGCAGATCTCGATGCACTATATCTAGGGCTTGCAAACCCCCATTCCATATAAGTGCCTGGACTACATTGTCTTCACTAAAGTTTATTTACCTTGAGTCATGCTAGAACAGAAAAGAGTCTTCCCCAGACTGTTCCCACAAAGATGGAAGCATAGCATTGTGCAAAATGTATTTACTTGCTGAAGCATTAAAGGGACAATGTAAGCACCTAGACCATTTCAGCTAATTGAAGTAGTCTGGGTGCTGCGACTCTTTTGCGCTTAGTGTTGCAATGTTAAACATTGCAGTTCCAGATAACTGCAATGTTTACATTGCAGCTCTAAGTCTGCCCTCTGTGGCTATCTAACAGACAGCCACGGGGGCTCTTCTGGAAACCTAACGGACCTTTGGTCTGTTATCTGACGCTGGACATCCTCACGGACCTCCAGCGTCAGATTTTCCCCATAGGAAAGCATTGAATAATGCTTTCCTATGAGGAGGTCTAACGCGTGCACAGCCAGTGCCGCGCATGCGCATTAGGTCTCCCCCGCTGACGTCGGAGCGTAGGAGAAGCCTGACCCAGCGCTGGATTCAGGTAAGTGGCTGAAGGGGTTTTAACACTTTCAGCCCTATGGGATGTGGGGACCTATTAACCCAGTAGTGCCAGGAAAACGGCTTTGTTTTCCTGGCATTATAGGGTCCATTTAAGCCCTAAACAGCCCCATACCATCATCCCTCCTCCATCAATCTTTACAGTTGGCACAATGCAGTCAGGCAGTTAACGTTCTCGTGGCATCAGCCAAACACAGATTTGCCCATCAGATTGCCAAACAGAGAAGCGTGATCCGTCACTCCACAGAACACGTTTACACTGCTCCAGAGTCCTGTGGCGGCATGCTTTACACCACTCAATCCGATGGTTGATGTTGTACTTGGTGAAATGAGGTTTGCACGCAGCTGCTCTGTCAGGGAAGCCCATTCCATGAAGCTCCTGATGCACAGTTTTTGTGCTGATATTCCAGTGGAAGTTTGGAAATCTTCAGCTATGGAATCAGCAGTGTGTTGGTGACTTTTACGCACTGGGCGCCTCAGCACTTGGTGACCCCACTCTGTAACTTTCCATGGTCTTCTGCTTTGTGGATGAGTTGCTGCTGTTCCTAAATGAGTCCACTTTATAATAATACCACTTACAGTTTACCGTGGAATATCTAGCAGGAATGAGTATTTCTTAACTGACTTATTGCAAAGATGGCATCCTATCACTGTACCACGATTGAAGTCACAGAGCTCTTCAGAATGACCCATACTTTTCCTAAATATTTGTATATGCAGACTGCATGGTGTTTGATTTTATGTGGCAATGGATCTGACTGAAACACCTGTTAGTAGGTAATAGTTTATGTGATACTTCATACATTATGATGGGAAAATTGCTGCATTAAAGGGACTCTCCAGTGCCAGGAAAACAAACCGTTTTCTTGACACTGCAGGTCCCCTCTCCCTCCCACACCCCATCCCAAGTTGCTGAAGGGGTTAAAACCCTTCAGTGACTTACCTGTATTTATTTATTTATTTATCAAATATTTTACCAGGGTAAATATAAACATTAAATATATACACAATTTATACATTGAGATTTCTCTCGTTTTCAAGTCTGTCCTGGGTTTTCAAGTATGTCCTGTATCCAGCGCCGATGTCCCTCGGCGCTGGGTCAGGGTCCACTGATTGCGCATGCGCGGCCGTCGGTGCCGCGCACATGCTTTAGACCTCCCCATAGGAAAGCATTGAAAAGGCTTTCAATGCTTTCCTATGGGGATTTTAGTGACGCTGGAGGTCCTCACATAGCATGAGGACATAGCATTACATACACATACACTACACAAACACACTGTGTATATAATGCAGTGTGTTTGTATAGTGTGTGTATATAATGCAGTGTGTTTGTATAGTGTGTGTGTATATAATGCAGTGTTTTTGTAATGTTTATATAATGCACACTACACAAAAACTGCATTGTATACACACTATACAACACACTGCATTATATACACACACTATACAAACACACTGCATTATATAAACACTACACAAGCACAGTGTGTTTATATAATGCAGTGTGTGTGTTTGTATAGTGTGTGTATATAATGCAGTGTGTGTGTTTGTATAGTGTGTGTATATAATGCAGTGTGTTTATATAATGCACACTACACAAACACACTGCATTATATACACACACTATACAAACACACACACTGCATTATATAAACACACTACATTCACTATACTCACACTACACAAATACACACACACACACATTCTGCATTAATTATATACACACACTACAAACACACACACACACTCTGAATTCATTATATACACACACTACACAAACACACACTTTGCATTTAGTATATACAGCATTCACTTTACACGCACACTACCCACACAATACACAAACACTCTGCTTTCATTATATACATACTACATTAATACACACTGCATTCACTACACACACTAGACAAATACACACTGCATCCACAACACACATACTACACAAACACACTGCATCCACTACACACACTACACAAACACACACAGCTCCCCTGTCTAAACACACTGCATCCACTACACGTGGCATGTATATTTTGTGCATTTACCTTTGGAAATAGTTTTTATTTTCCAATACGGTAAATGTACAGAATATCTGCAAATTATATCGGCTATCGGCCTGAAAGTTCACAGAATATCGGTATTGGCTCTAAAAAAAAATCAATATCGGTCGATCCCTAGTACCTTCCCAATAGGGCATATTACACTAAAGGAGTATAGTATCCCTTTAAGGCTGTTCTACTATCTATTTTCTGTTTGGCTTTGTCTGTAACCCGTAATAGTTTCACTTTCAGTTTACTTCATGTTTTCCTGCTTACTGCTACACCATTGTTTTGAAGAAGAAATTGTAGTATATCAAAATGTTCTTGCATAGCACTTGAAGACTGCGTGATAGGGAGGGGAGACCACTGAATTTTCTCTCTTGCTGGCCTAGAATAGGTTTACCAGTTCTTGAAGAGCAACAATTTGAGCGTGGTCTCCCAGTGGACAGAATATTGGAATAATCGAAAGCGATTTTATTAATTAGAAAGGCTCAAGTTCCTAGGATCATATTATAAAATTAAACCACATTGTGAATACCTTAATTATTAATCATCTCCAAATTAGTTTGGGACATGATAGCAAGAGCCACGCGAGACACTTGATTATGGCAAAATAAATAAATAAATAAAAACAAGGAAACAAACTCTCCTGCAGCTTAGCTTCTCTTGCCACAGGCATTGTGTGTGCTCATTTATTCAATGAGCAATTGGAGTGCAGTAATCCTCCCATTGAGGAATGAAGGACTGGATGAAACCTACAGTATATGCGAAACATTCAGAAGTGATTTTTAAAATTGTGTAAGGGCTATGCTGAATCTGTTTTGGGAACTTTTTATGTGACGTTTATATACAGATGTAAATAGATTCATGGTGTTTTAATTTTTCTTTCTAATGGTCATCAAAATCTCATAAAATATTTTAAATAAACACTCCAAACACCCAATGCACTTGAGCTTGCTGAAGTGCTTTCCTCGTAAAGAGAGTAATATTTCCCCCCCTCCATTTGCAGTATAACATGCAAAATAAAGTTCTTACCTTAAATCCAATGCCGGACAAAGCTCCCCGTGCTAATCCTCTTTTACATGGGCCGCACGCGGTCCAATCATAGGCTTTTGGATCATTTTGCTTGTTCAAAGCAGAGTGTGGGTGAGAGGGTAAGATTTTAATGTCTGTCGGCATAAAGATGTTTTTTATGCACAGTATTGACATAGCCACCAGCATACAATTAAAGGACCACTCTAGGCACCCAGACCACTTCAGCTTAATGAAGTGGTCTGGGTGCCAGGCCCAGAGAAACTGCTATGTTCATAAATGGGTTAATCCTTCCCCCAAAGCCTCTAGTGGCTGTCTCATTGACAGCCGCTAGAGGCGCTTGCGTGAGTCTCACTGTGAAAATCACCGTGAGACAACGCAAGCATCCATAGGAGAGCATTGATAATGCTTTCCTATGCGACCGGCTGAATGCGCGCGCAGCATTCAGCCGACTAGGAGGAGGAGGATCGGAGGAGGAGAGCTCCCCGCCCAGCGCTGGAAAAAGTTAAGTTTTACCCCTTTTCCCCTTTCCAGTGCCGGGCGGGAGGGGGACCCTCAGGGCACTATAGTGCTAGGAAAACGAGTATGTTTTCCTGGCACTATAGTGGTCCTTTAACAAGAACTATGTAAGTGCAGTGTTTTATGCAGAAATGCATGGCACTCGAGGTGCCTTTGTACGGCACTCAAGGCTGCCAGAGATAAACAGGCTCTGACCTATCAGGAGTCCCAGTGGGACTTGAGATATCTGCTAGTGCAAACCGATCAGCATTTGCAGGTGGTGAAGGGCAATCCTCAAGTTACGCTTTGCAGCACTTAGAGAAAGTGATCTCACATTACTTCTTCTCCTGGCTTGTGAATGGGAAACCACACTGGAGTAGAGCAGCCCACAGCATATATCGCAGCTCCTCCCCTAGACCTGTACCTGGCCATCCTGGTCCCCATTGGACCCCAGGGAAGCCACATACTGCTAGCTATACAGAGCTGCAGAGGAATCCTCCCCATCATACAAATAATACACACTTATCCACACACACACACCAATGACAATCCACATACATGCACAATACGGCAATATAAAACCTAAATTCAAAAGAATAAGACTGGCACACCAAGGGACTTCAAGAACTTGTTTTAGCACAGTGCTACTAAAAGCCTGCCTACCCCTGGCCTATACGTTAATACCCAAATGCTCTACGAGAGTCACCCCCTCCACAAACCCTGGAGAAACAGATAAGCATGACTCTATAATATGTCTAGAGCAGTGGTAGTCAACCTTTTACTACCTACCGCCCACTAATGCATCTTTCTTGATGGAAAAATTTCGCGCAAGTGCAGAATATTTTTTAGAAAGGATGGTGTTTTAAAAAAAATAAATGTACGCACTTTATGCATGTTTATAATGTTTTTAATTTTATAAAGTTTAATGAGAAAACAATAAAGTAAATTGAAATTACCTTTACTAGTGATTAATGATATCCTTGAGGTTGATGCTGCGAGACTAAATATTTGATATCTGGTTCAATTTTCGTAAGGAATAAACAAGATCTCCTCTGTCGGTGATATTCAGACGATTTCTCTGTTTGCTCATAATATGATTTCTCATGTGTGTCAATTCCCCTCCCCACCTTTTTTTTCTTCCTTTTTTCTATTTTTTAACCTTCCTTATAGCAATACTCAGTAGGAAGGCTGAGCTAGGCAGCCCACTAACTATTGTTAGCCAACAACAATTCTCTCCTTTCCCTTTTTATTTTCATTCTCCTTTTTTACAAGTACTCTACTCCTTCTTCTTCTTCCTATTCTACAAGTACTCTGCGCCTTCTTTCTTCTTTTTACAAATACTCTGCTCCTTCTTTCTTCTATTCTACACACACACTCACAGACACTCACACATACACTTACAGACAGATACACTTACAGACACACACATATACTTACACACACATACACACATACTTACAGACACACACACACTTAGACACACACACATATACATACAGACAGACAGACATACACACATATACTTACAAATACACACATATACTTAGATACACACACACATACACACACAAACACAAATTAGTAATATTAAATGTCCACCCAGCCTCCCTACCTGGAGAGCTGGTGTGGATCTCTCCCTGGGGTACAGTGGGGCTTCACTTCAGCGGACGGCAGAGTTCAAATCCGAGGGAGCTCTAACCTCTCTGCTCTGCTCCCTCGCGGGCTGTCTACTGATGCCGAGAGCCGGAATATGACGTCATATTACGGCTCCTGTGGCATCAGAAAACATTGCACGAGGGAGCAGAGCAGGGAGGTTAGAGCTCACTCGCCGCGTCTTATCTTACCACTGCCACACGCCATGCCGAGGGTCCAGAAGGTGGCCTGGCAGGACGGGGCGCTTCCCTCCTGCCGGTCACTGAAATCTTGCGCCCGCATAGCCACTCGCGCCCGCCCGCCCAGAAGGAGAAATCCTTAAAAAAAAGATTTAGTCACTGAAATCTCTACCGCCTACCTGGAATCCTGAAACGCACACTCGTGGGCGGTAGGGACCAGGTTGACAACCCATGGTCTAGAGGGGGGGATTAAAGGAGCCAGTACATACAAGAAAACTTCAAACAAATGGCCACCGTGTGTGCAAGTATAAGGTGTGGGGCATTCACCTCTCTCTAATTTTATAGTGGCCAGTACAAAAGTAGATAATACAGGACTATAGTCCATTGTAACAAAGAAAAAAAAAGAGAACCATAAAGTAATACAGTGGAAACTCCCTTTTGATACGCTCCCGTACTCAAACAATTCAGTCAGAAATTATAGGGTCAGAAATACATGTTTGTGTTCCTGACCCTATAGTGTTCTTTTAACTCAGTTATAGCTGCGGAAGTTCCTCTAGTAACTGTCTTTCTGACAGCCACCTGAGACATGTTAACCCTGCAATATACACATTGTCATTCCTGCAAAAAGGCAATATTTTCAGTGTAATGACAATATATTCTGTAGTGTCAAGTTCATGACAATATATTCTTTAGTGAATATATCTTTTACAGTATAGTAAAGTTATTTTTATGTACTTAAGTGTTTTTCTTGCTTTTTGTTCTTCTTAGTTGGCAGAGTTGTATGCTATTACTCGGTTTAGTACAGTTTTTATGTGTTTTATAGTAGACTACAATCTGTTTCCACAGTATTTAACTTAAATGATAGCATCCCTGGGTAGAACCACCTAAGGCCTAACATGAATTTACACCTTTTCCAATTGGTAGTGGAAAGCAGTTGTATTGATCCCTAGATTGTTTTTCCTTCCCTTAAACTTGGTCTCTGCTCAAGCTCTTTTTTATAGTAAAGAGAGCAAACATACATGGCTTTATTTGTGGCATAACATCAATATGATCAATTGAAACGTTGTGAATATTAGCACAATTACTTATACATCTCCCTGCTTGTTTTTTTGTCACAATTATAGTCACCCTATATTTGTGCTGTGTTGCAATCAGGGGGAAGCTTTGAGCCTTGTTCCCTGCAACCTAAAACTAAACAAAATTAACTGGCGCACTACTTTTCAGATTATGCAG